GAGCCGAAGGCAGTCGCTTAACCAACTGAGCCACCCAGGCGCCCCTGTATACTTTTTTTTTTTATATATTATTCTCTTCAGAAGTGTCCTCCTGGCGTCAGTTTCTTACAAGACTCAGGGGTTTGGCTTAGGATTATATTTTAGATGTTGAGGCTACATCTCTACCTGATACTCTTCTGGAAGTCTGCAGGGCAATGGTGGGGGTTTTTTTCCCCTTTAGGGCTTCACTGTACATTAATAACCATTTAAAATATCTTTAAAGAGGGGCGCCTGAGTGGCTCAGTCGGTTAAGTGTCTGCCTTCCTGGTCCTGGGATCAAGCCCCGCATCGGGCTCCCTGCTCAGTGGGAAGGCTGCTTCTCCCTCTCACTTTGCCCCTCCCCCCTGCTAGTGCTTTCTCTCACTCCTGCTCTCTCAAATAAATAAAATCTTTACAAAAATAAAATAAATATCTTTAAAGATAGTCTTTAAGATAAAAATAAATTTGTTTTATAATTATGTAAAATATTCACCTGATAAAAAAAATCAACCTATAAAAATAATATCTAACCAAATTAGTCTAGCTGATATCTCTGTCTTGTCCAATTTATTCACTACCATTCCCTATGAGTAACTATATATGTATACTGTTTGTATTGTAACTATCCATTAAAATTTATTGAGACTGGGTTTCTAAAAAATATTTGCAATATTTCAGGTACATTTGAAAGAAAATATAATTTTTATTATGATGGTTTACAGTTTGATATGTACTTACATTCTCTATTTTATTGGTTATATTTTTAGGTCTTTTTATTCTTGCTATTTTTGTCCTTTTGATCTGTCTTGAGTTACAAAAGGTATATTAAAATAGTCTCTCTTCACATAAAAAAAAACTGTAAAGTCAAATAGTTAAAAAAAAAAAAAAGAAAAAGAAAAAAAGATAAACCCAAATGGTTAATTCTAACAATCCAAGAAATGCAAATTCAGCAAAATGGGGTCACAGAGCACATGGGCAAAAAGCGAATAGATTGATCATGTTCGATGCTGTTCAGGATGTGAGGAAATAGGCTTTCTCACAGCTTGCTGCCACGAGAATAAACTGTCACGACCTCTCTGTAGATACCTGTATTAATACAAAAATGTGCTTACCTGTATCCCAGGAATTCTATTTCTAGGAATTTTTCTTAAGAAAAAAAAAAACAACCACACAGAGATGTATAATATTCTGTAGCACATTATTTACATTAGCTAAAGGTCAGAGACTAAAAATTCTATCAATTGAAGATTAAATGCATATAATGGAATAATATCTTGTTAGAAAAAATAAGATGGATGTGTCTATACTGACAAGGAGAGATAACCAAGAGAGATTAGATTTTTAAGAACCAGGCTAGAGAAGAGCAGTTGAGAATGGCTCTTTGATGATGCCCTTGAAGCAGAAAGATACCCAAAACTATCCGAAGTTGTTCTGTGGAATTTGGGAATATTGGGGAACTTGCATTCTCCACAATTATGTATTAAAACTTTACAAGAATGTGCTATTTTTAAAATTAAAAATGAAATAAATGATGTTAAATGGTGATTCCCGGCAGTGATGAAATTTGCTAGGAAAAAGGGGACTCACGCAAAGCTGATGGGCAAACCGAGGCAGCCTTTCTGGAGGTCATTTTGGTGACTCTGAATCTAAAGTCTGAAAACACATATGCCCTTCCACTCAGCAAATTCACTTTTAGGAATTTATCATGAGGAAATAATTCAGGACATGAACAAAAGTAAGGATGTCTGCCAGCCTGTCTGTCATGAAAAAAACAAAACGAACAAACCTGGAAAGGAACATAAATATCCAAGGACGGTGTGGCGATGGGTTAAATAAACTAGACCCAGCCATATGGCACCTTACAGGCAGCCATTAACTTCATCTCAGAAAAGTGCTCGAGGACAGGGAAAAAGCCCCCGTGTGCTATAAACTCACTGACATGAGGAAAGTCCACCAGGCATTACAAAACAAACAAAAGCAGATCACAAAACAATATGTACGTTGTGAGCTCAGTTTTGTTAAATACACATGTGCATTCACAGAACACAAAAGACTAAAAGGATATAGACCAAAATTTTGGAGCTAATGAATAGGGAAAGACAGGGGATTCTTATTTCCTTCCTTATATTCTTTGTACTGTCAAATTTTGTGTTTCCTCTTTTATCAAAACATAAGGTTTTAAAAGTACCTATGAAGTACACATTTTCACCAGTTCTGATTTTTTCTCAATTCAAAATTAGTAAGTCATTACAAAATAGGTTTTTATCACATTGTTATACCACTCTTAAAAGAAAAATCTTCAAAATCCATATAAACCTTTGACTTTGAAATATAGGTATTATGATTTTCAGTTAAAAAGATCAAAATCTGAATGGAACCTGAATACTGAACATACTTAACTGAAGTCAGAGATCACACACCTGAACACAGCTACTGAGTCTGAGAGGGAACCAACAGCAACATCAGGGTAGGAATTTCTATCAAGGTCCATATTTCCAGCAATTGAATATCCAAAATAAGGGGATTTACCCTCAAGAATCTGAAATGAACAGGGCATCAGAATGAACAATGGGCCACCAAAATGAGCTTCTCGATGCCTTGAAAAAGCCTCATGCTTCCACATAAACTGAAGCTCAAGAGTTTACTTATAAATTATACTAAATTATAAATTATAAGTACACATATGCTCCAACACTTCATACATTTCATAGAAGTCATCTGATTTACATTCTATCTCAAAGGATACAAGGGCCAATTTTTGATGAGTTTCTTTACTATATACCAAACCTCTCTACCTGCCTTCCAAATGTCTTATTTTCCTCAAAAGCAATTTTTAATTTTTGGCATCTCAATCCTCCATGTAATCATAATCATCTATTTCATTTGCCCCATTTTGCCTCCAGTTATTATGCTACTAAAGGAAAGATCTCACATTTCCATCTATTTATGCTGTCTGGGTAAAATTGTCTTTTCCTTTGGATTACTCTGATTCCTAATTTATCTAAGAAATTTTACAAATAAACACAACGATGTGCTTATTTTATATCTGTTTTCAAGCTATCTTTTAATAGTACATTTTAAAAAAACCCACAAATCTATTATAGATTTGTAAATCAAGCATGAGTAGCGTGAAAATGCACATAAACCCAAATATCCTATTACAAGGCAAAAAGCTGAGACCCTTATTGTAGAAACCCAGGCTGTTTGGTTACCTGTGTTGGCTTGGTATTTATTCCATTCGGGGATCCGTGATAGATAAAAACCTTTCCCTTATCATCATAGGGAGCTCCAACTGCAATATCTGTGGACAACATCACATTTCAACAAACACTACATTTTTAAAATGTTCCAATACGACGTTTCATAATAAGATGCCATAAGCATTCATTATTTTAGACAATCAATCTGCCAATGAGCATCATAACTATCTCACAATCTATTACCTACCTGGGTAGCCATCTTGATTAATATCGCCAATATTTTTTACTGCAATGCCAAACATAGAATCTTTGGTTCCATTAAGACGAATTGGCTTGACTTTATTCCACCTGCCTTGCTGGTTAATGTAAACATACACGGCACCTCCAACTTCTCCATCTCTATCAAAATACTGTGGGGCTCCAATAATTATATCTTGCCACCTAAAAACGTAACGAGGGATAAAACTGAACCATCAGCTAAAATACCAGCAAGCTCACAGAGAATGCCATCAGCCCAGGTACTAAGGACACAGAGACAGGATGCAGAAAGGAACTCAAATCTGGAATTGACTTCTCATCCATTAAAACATTTTTGTAGGTGTGTTTATGTAATGTTTAGGCACGTAAGTGTTTATGTTTAGGTGAAACGTTTTACACAGTAGCCTACAATAAATGCCCAGAGGAAGATATCAACGGTAAGAACCTGAAGACAGTCCCCAAGTTAGAACGAGAGTGCACAGACTCTGCTCCCCTCCACCTGCCACCCAAACTGGCACCACCAGACATAACTATTACTTTGTCACCGATCCCTATTTTTAAAAGGACATTCTGGATGCTCAAACAGTCCCTTAAGAAGCACAGAAGAACCACATAGGTGTCATTTTTCGAGTTAATGTTTTTCCATATGTTAATTCTCACAGACCCATGATCCCAAAACATGAGTAAAAATTGAAAATGTAAATCACCTGAGGAGGGTTATGAACGTCTGCTGCCAAAATACAAGGGATAAAGATGTGGCAGCAAAAATATTCTTTGAGTCAACTAACCTGAAAGGATGGCGCTTCTCAAGACTGAAAAGTGCCCAAGAACCAACGATTTCTTGGCGGGTATAATAAAGTAACCGAAGATGCTCTCACCCATCACTGTTAAGGTCCGCCACTGCCACGTCATAACCAAAGGAAGAAGCCAGACCTTCCCCATCAAAGATGTACTCAGGGAGAAGATGTGCAGACTTCGTGTCCCTTTTTAGCAAAACCACAGCTCCACTGTGATTGGCTCTTGGAGCACCAGACACGAAAGTGATCTCATCTTTAGAAACAATAGCTTTTCCTGAGTCCAAAGAAAAGCCTAGAAAAAAACAAAACAATAGCGCACGTCACCCTGTATCTCAGGAGTATCTAACACGGTAACTTTTCTAACATCACTACCTTTGCCTCGGCCTCCCACCCCTCTCCTTCAGGGCCTCTCTCGCAGCTCTCGTATTTACAACACGGAAGAGTCTGAGCCAAGTACAAGGCAGTAGGCTAGGTCGTGGCTTTCTACGGAAACATACGAAGACTTTTGAAGGAAAGCACCCATGTTACTTAGCGTATGTCTAACTTGAATCATGCATCTCAAGCTGTTCGTACTCCATTTTAATACAGGAACTGTGGTAAAAGGAGTTCAAGCCAGATCCTAAGTTATCACTGGAAACTGCACATAGAGATACAGCCAGACACAACATACCTGAGTGCATGTTACAGAGTTCTGCTACAACGTACCGATTAGTAACTTCCACACTCATCAGTCTCCTTGGTAATACAAACGCTAACACCATTCATGTATCACAGACAGCATCAGGACTGCGGACCAACTTAATTCTCAGACACAAACATGCAAACAAGACCATGACTGGTGAGACCGAGTATTTGAGAACCTAGTATAAACAACAGAGGTGAGCAAGTTGTCACTGATGACAATTACATACTTGTTCAGAGGGCAGAAAAGGTTAGACGCCTAATTATAAAGCATCAGGTGGGGTGTCAGATAACAGACTGAGATCTGGCAGCAAGTGAACATAAATGCCTACGTCAGAACCACTCAGATTAAGCACATCTTGCTCTAGAAAGGTGAGGCAGATGCAGAATAGGGTAAGCTCACCCTTTTTATTCTGATTTATAAAAAGCTTCACCACTACTGTTGCAGTTCTCAAACTGTGAAAGTGAGTTGCAAAATATGACGAGCTCCAAGTTTAGAATAGGTGATGTAACTAAATCCAGCTCTGAAAACCATCTGGCAGCAGAGCCTCAACCATGGCATGCTTTTCATGTGTGCTTCACTTGAAATGAAATAGAAAAGAAAAAAGATTTATGCTCTGTATGGATCCAAAAAAAAATTTTTTTTTTTTTTTAATGACCATGACCAAGACAATTGATTTGTCATCTCTGAGGTCACAAACCTAGGTAGCTATTCATCATCACATCAGGGGATGTGCCGGGCTGCTCCCTGGGAGGCTGTGTTTTATAAACAAACTGATCAGGATCTGTGTAGGAAACGCTGGTCAAAAACAGCAGGCCTGGACACATGCGCGGAATGGAAGAGATCGAAGAGAAGGCAATTATGCTTCGTAAGAGGTACGAGGAGGCCACCACTGCATCCGGTGAGCCAGCCTCCTCGCCAGCTTCCGAAACCTCAAGGAGGTCATTTTCTTCCTCAAGCCCACTATGTTTTGAAACGACAGATCCACAGACAGCATGGACAACAAAAACGTAACAATACAAGGCATCTGCTTTTGAGGCAATCCATTCTTAAAAGGGGCAAATGTGTTTAATAAAAAATGCTGAATCTTTTCGAATGCTCCAAGAACAGCTATGTTTCTAAAATCCACAGGCATCTATCTTAGAGACTGAAGTGTTGGGGTTCTTGACCCTTATATGGAATTTCAATTTACAAATACTTCTCATCATAAATAACCCCTAAATAACATATCTGATGAGAGGCTGCCTGTTAAAATATGTTCAAATAAAATGCAGGTGTATGAATGGTATTCAGCCTGAAAAGCCATACTGAGACTGTGAACGGCTGGCGTCTGCGTCCCACCGTCCTGCAAAGCCACTGACCCAGCACTCACACACCCAGCCGCTTCCCACCCTGCCTCATTTTCACGAGCCTTTCTTTCCTTGGCTGAGGGATGAGCAATTGTGTGACCTTGGCCTAGGAAATTAATTTCCCCAGGTCGTATTTTTTTTCATTAGCAAAAGAGGGATAATCATACTGATTTTATAACATTGTTGGGAAGATCAGGTAAGACATGAATAGCAGTAAATACAGCACATGGTTGGCACTTGTTAAGTTTAACTTTTCTCTGCCCTCTTCTAAGCCTTCACACCAGATTCTTAATTTGGAGGGAGAGGGAGTGTCTGAAAAGTTGTGTCTTTTTTTTTTTAATTAACAGTACCATTCATGCATATCTATATAATTAGAACATTTTAAGAATATGCTTACTAACACGTCGTTTAGAATTATTCTTATGTTTTTACTTTTACCTTCCATTGTTCCAGTAACATCTCTAGCACAGGGGTACTTTAAAAAAAAATAGGTTACTATTCAGGTTTAGGAGATTTTTTACATTTTTTCCCAAGAAATGCACAGTAATTATTCTTTATGTCAACTCATACCAAGAATTAAAGCTCTTAAAAGCCTTTGTGTAATTACCATAATGCACATGAATCATTTAGGACACCCATTAGTAATGCAAACGAGCCTTAGGAGTTAGGGAATTGGCACTTAGACACAATCTGGGGGTCCTCCAAGCTGCTCTAGCAGTCCCGCTCAGCTTCTGCTGGAAAGCCACCGCGCCACCCGCCAGGGGCCCTGTGACAGGGGGGCCCCAGTCCAGAAGCAGAGCCGACCCTCGCAGAAGAGCAGTCACGAAGGAAGGACCTGGAGGTCTTGACCTGCCACTTCAGAGTAACTTCATGAATGTAGCTCTTAAGAGTATCTCTAGAAAGAGGCACTGGAGGGAGAGAGGAGGCAGCTCAGCTTATTGCTGACATCCATGCATTTCCCCTCCCCCGGCTGCACCAACACCTGTTTTTGGTTACAGAAGCTGACGCTAGCTCAAGACACAGACTTCCACTCGGGACAATTTTAGGAGACAGTGAGTTTCCTCCCGCCCTGCCGGAGCCCAGGTCAGAACGGAAGGGTGCCAAGCATCAGCCAGGTTACCTCAGGATCACCAAAGCTTAAATCCAATTCCCATCAATGCAGCCACAGGCCCCTGGCTCCACCTGGCCTCTTCTCATCCTCGAGGTCCAGGTTGGGTCCTGGGAGGACAGGGTCGCACTGAGGCATCCGGAAAGGCAGGCATGCCTGCTGCACTCTTTCCTACCTAAGTAACTGTTAGCGGGAACAGGAACCAGACTTTCGTCATGGTCAGTCTCTCCACCAACTTCATAAGGCCCATCTTCAAAGATGTTCATGTCAAAAAAAGTGTTATTCTTTTGCTCTACGCGAACGATGCCTAAAGAAATGAAATGGCAAAAAACAACAAAAAAAACATGAAGATGGAACAAAATAAAAGAGATGGTTCCTAATAAACATGCCTCATGTTAGCACCATAAGGACAGGAAGAAGAGTCTGGAGAAAGAAGGGCAAAGGAAAGAGAGGGCTTTTGAGGTTATTACAGTTAAAAAATCATGTTATGTGAATTTTCTTAAAGAAATCTGTTCTAGTAATAAAAAAAGATGGCCCGTGCATTTTTAGGAATTCTCTCTATAATGCCACAAAACCAGATGGAAAACAAAATGTTTACTTCATTAACTAAATCTACAGAAAGTAACTCTTTAGACATTATATGAGCCTGATGTATTTTACACTGTCTGTCATCCTAGATCAATTTACCTACTTTGCTAGAGAGTAAAAGTGAAATGTTTTGATCCTTTCTTCAAATCACTTGAACCAAGATTTCATCTTTCTAAAACTTTCACAATTAACAATTAAAAAGAGAAGATTTCATATAGTAAGCCCACTATGTGACTTTTTAAAAACGGTAACATTTTGAATCAGGGTTTATAAAGCAGATAAGAGATGTTTCCTGTAAATACATACACACATACCTGGTGGGTGTTTTTGTTGTCTTACTATATATGGCGTCTCTTCTTGTTATAATAAAACTATTTCTAAATTCAGTGTGTTATTTGGATTAGGTCAATATAACCGGACAAATACAGTTATGTTGGGGGTGGGGAGGCCAAAGGAAATTCCTCCCAAAGGTTACTACGGATGACATAAAGAGGAAGGTGTTCCTCAAGGATTGTTTCTAATAGGTATTCAAACTTGGGAGATTTTTTGAATGCAAAAGGGAAATTTTTCCTAAGTTTGTCTTAACTAGAGAAAATGTTATAACATAGCATTTATTTTAATAGATTTCTCAAAAAAATGTCTGATGTCTAAATCCTATGCATTTCTCTTCATTATGCATTAGAGTTAAGCTAATTGTCCTTTATAATATAGTGGTTTTCTTTGCCTGCCTAATTTCTTCAGAGAAGTTAAACTTGATTACAGGAGCTGACCAGGTTCGCCCAGTCAAACTGAGGGCCCTTCTCCCCCTCCCTCCCAGTGCCTCCTTTTACCTACATCACAATCATAATTAAACGATACCACTAAACAACTTTCCCATAAATTGTCTACAATTATCATCTCAAAATTCCCTAATTTGTCATTTACCCTTCTAACTTTTCTGCTTTATTAGCAAAACACAGCCTCTTAAGATAATATATAATGGAAAAAATGTCTGTATTAATACACTGTTACTTGTACATGACACCACTCAATTATTTTGTTTTAAGATTACTACCTTAAATGAAATGTTTGCCAACATTAAAACACTTGCAGCCTCAAGAAACAGGAAAATACAAAACAGAAAAAACTACAGAAGTTAATTATTATATTCTTAGTGAAAAAAGTTAACTACTTGTATTAATGTAAATTGCTGGTAGAAGAGGAAAAAACATCTTCAAATATACATTTCCACCACTGTTTTTGAAATCATATAATTGAGAGATTGTAATATCCTACCTTACTTCTATAATATACAAGTGCCTTATAACACATTTTGTTTTAACTTAAAACATAATCATGGTGCATGTAAGAGAAATTATGTAGTCATTCTGAACTCTATTGCTATAAATACATGTCCTACCTTTCCAGTTATAAGTGCCCGGGGCTCCAAACACAATGTAATGAAAGTCTTTAGTAAAAGTAGCTGCTACTCCTTGCTGGCAAGAACCAAATTTTTCATGGCCTCTCAATCGGCCATCGCAAAAACTCCAGTCTCCTCCATCCATGTCATCCTCAATCCTCAGATTCTGACTCAGGACGTAGCACCTTCCAAAGATATCTCGGGATTCCTGCTTTGTATTGACATGTTGCCTTTTTTCGTATCGGTGAGCACATGTCTGCAAACAGATGGAATAAAGTAGCCCATTCATTTCTACAAACCTTATGTGTATTGTTGATCATTTAATCAATTTGTAATAAAGAGAGATTAATTCTAAAGGGGATGTTAAACATGTCCTCATCCTGGGACGGGATCCAAAACCAGCAATTGTTCCCCAAAGTGGCACTAAGGAGAGCATCATCTAGCATAAAGGAACTAGGACTTGTCTTATTCTCACCTGGAGGATAATGCTCCAGTCCAAATACCGAATGCCAATCTGTAATCCACAGGCAATTTATTTGTAAATTTACCTGTCACATAAGCAATAGGAAATATCTTCTCTCATTTTCTTAATTTAATTGGCCTTTATTGGCTGTATAAACTTTCACATCAGTATGTTTGTGAAAATTTGTAATTATGTTCCAGGGGAGAGAAATCATGGACATATTTTCATAGGATCAGGCAAACACAGCTAAAACAAAAACATTTCCCTTTTACCCGCACTATTTCCTTATAATCAGCCCTAACTTGTACTCTAAGCTATTTTAAAAGGCAGAGAGAATTACACTGCCAGAAAAGATGAAATAATCTCTATAATTTTACAAGGTATTCATGGTTACCCTCCATGTAACACAGGCTAAATAGACTTTATGATATCCAAGTTGATTTCCTATAATGATGATCCCTTAATTATCAAAATTCAGGGTTCAGTAAAATTCTCATTTTTTTTTCCCCCAAAATCCTGTATCAATTTGTCAGAGCAACTAGATTTTGAAAGAGACACAGAGAGAGAGCATCGTAATCCAGCCTGGAAGGCATTTCTGAGGCCACCTCCCACAGTCCACCTAACAAACCCCTTCCCTTCACTGCTACTTGTATTTGAAGACGTTCAGAACAAACAACCAGAGTTTTAGAGTACCTGCTCTTTCCTTGGCTATTCCCATATTTTTTAGAACTCATCTAAAAAAGCCACATGGTTCCTGGGACATAAACCACGTCTAGTTTTGTTCTGCATTCTAAAGACCGTCTAGCGTTTTAGGGATATTCAGTGAAGGTTTATTAGTAAGTTCCTTGAGTCTGAAAGTTCTAAAGAAAAGCAGGTTTTATGACTATTTCAAAGTATATCAGAAATCACAGAGGGGCGCCTGGGTGGCTCAGTCAGTTACGCATCCAACTCTTGGTTTCAGCTCAGGTCATGATCTCAGGATCACAGGATGGAGCCCTGCGTCAGGCTCCATGCTCAGTGTGGAATCTGCTTGAGATTCTCGCTCCTTCTCCCTCCGCCTTGCTCTCCCCTCTCTCAAATAAATAAATAAATAAAACTTTAGAAATCACAGAAAAAATAATGCCTTGATTTCTTCTTGACATCAATTCCTGCTGTAAAGCAGTGAGTCTTCTGGAATGTCCCCTGTGCGGGCAGGCGCTCTGCCTGCCTTGTTCGCTGCTGTCAGCCTGGCGCCAACCCATGACAGGCACTCAGACGTTGTGGAATGGGTGCGCTTCTCCACACTTACCACAACTTTGCCCCCTGGACCTTGGCTCTGCACGGTGACCCCCATCCACTGATCTTCCTTGCTTTCTGATGAAGGGTCAGCTGTGGAAAGCAGTGCAGGTTACGTACACACAGTTAGGACTTCAAAGTAACTGAAGCAGGCAATGAAGCGAGAGATGAACACAAATACAAGCTGGTTTCTAAACTGCCTAGATTCCAAGTTACTCAATCCAGAAAAATTATTTCTCCTTTTAAGAAAACAGGTAAGTGGTTATTGGTAAAAACCTTCTTAAAATTCTTTACATAAAATAAATAGCTTTACCTGGTGGCCCTACACTCTTTCTGACAACCAGGATCCTGAGTACAAAAAGCTATTTGAAAATTATAAGACTCAGGAGTAGCTTCCAACATATGCGTCTTAAGGCAGTGATGTGAACATCCAGTCTCCAAACTCCAGCTACCATCCAAACTAACAAGAAGTCGGCACTTCTCTACATAGTCCTAAATTTGTTATATAACAGCATGAACTCTTCTTTTCTTTCTTGGAGAAGACAAGACAAGGCCTCAGATTCACTATCAATGCCAAGAAGGAAAGCAACATATTTAGTTTTTACCTCCCCCCCCGCCAAAAAAAAAAGAGAAACCACAAACACCATCATGTATGTGTTCATTTCAGTATCAATCTGAACCTACTGTATGACCCTGTATCCAAATTTTTGCCTTCCTCAATGAGAAGGCAGGCATGATTTTTTTAATCTTGAATCATTGCAAAAATGTGAAAACTAAACAAGTTTAAGTGGAGAGAAGCCAAAATGCCAAAATGTTAAAGAGTGATTATGTCTAGATTACCCATGGGTTTTTGGGTTTTTCTTTATATAGGTCGGTGTCTTTTGTAACTTTCCCACAATTAACATATATCATTTTCTAATCAGTAAAGAAAAAAAAAAAACAAATGTCATTTCTAAAAGATGAAAAAGAGAACAACATCAACGTGAATTTGCAAATCTACTTAGACCAAGGATGTCAAATCTGCTCCCCTGGAGCTTCTCAGCACACTAACTACTCGGCTCAGCAGAGATCCCTCACAAAACAAGCCTCTATCTGAGCCAGAAGGGCAAAATTAGCCATTATGGTCAGCTCTCACTTCAGAGAGATCTGATATTTAAAACAGTCTTTCTCTCAAATATTTTAACAGCAAGCGAGCACTTCTGGCAGCCAAGTACAAGCTATGCACAATTTTCTTTGCCGCTCTGAATTCAGTTTTCCAACAGCCTCGTGTAGAACCTCAGCGCAGCACTAGGCGGCGACATCAACACACCATAGCCTTTTAGAAAGCAAGATCAGGAAGGGCTGCAGTTCGGTGTGCATCCCAGCATCATTTAAAAAGTAGATGTTTTCAGGGCAAACAAGAAACAGTCAAGACATGTAATTAGAAGCGGCCCTCTCTCCAAGAACAAAGGCTTGGACCCCTTTCCCTCCTCATGGAAAAGGCAAGTGGGGTACAGGCGAGCTGGTCAAGTGGACAGAGTGAGGACAGAAGAACACACCGTCGTTATCAAATTCAATCCGTGTGCAAGGCCCGGGGGAGGTGATGTCACAGCTGTACAAGCCGCCTGTTCTGTTGGCCCTCTGCAGTGGAAGGGCCACCGCCCGAGGGGCCCCCACGAGCAACCTGTTGACAAAACAGAAAATTTGGAGAGTTGAGTTTAACAAACGCAATTAACATTTCAATTAGAACCATGATGTTCAGATGTCGGGATCATTGGTGGTCAAGAGTTCCCAGATGCCCCGCTGGCTTAGGCACTGGGGACAGTAAGAGTCCACTGGGGACAGTGGAGTCCTGCGGCTGGCCCGTGCAACACGCACGCACGCACAGCTAGGCAAGTCAAGCCCGGAAAGGGGTTGTTGAAACAACGTGAAAAGTATGCCATCTCTCGGGGCGCCCGGGTGCCTCAGTCGTTAAGCGTCTGCCTTCGGCTCAGGTCGTGGTCCGGGACCCTGGGATCGAGCCCCGCATCGGGCTCCCTGCTCTGCAGGGAGGCCTGCTTCTCCCTCTCCTACTCCCCCTGCTTGTGTTCCCTCTCTCGCTGTGTCTCTCTCTGTCAAATAAATAAATAAAATCTTT